AAGCCGATACCAAACAGCGTGTGAATAGAGCTGTGTCCAGAAAAAGAAACACTGAAAACAGAACAACAGAGAGTAGAATGGAGTTATTAGAGATTAAGGATGTCTATGAAGTACTTGTAAGTAATTAATATAATGTTAAACATTCAATATTCACGGCTGTATTGCGGATGTGCCCGAGCTGATAAGCAGAGCGCGCTGAGTGGATTGAGTGTGCGGCTTGTCGAGTGAATATCTCACAGACATCACTGGAAAGTTTGTAGTTCGGTGGGATATGTCAAAAGCAAGTAAGTAAAACAATGTACAAGTTACTAAAGTTATTTGACGTTAAGGAGAGCGAGAGAGTCTGAGAGCGTGCATTTCTGTTGCATGATCTTGATTGCTGTTCCCTCCATTAGCGCATGCATTTGGATTAAAACTAAATCGTAAATACAAAACAAACAAAAATTATAGGGGCATTCACTATAAACAGCATTTATTTTAAACGTCAAGCATACACAACTTTATTTAAAGCAGAAGTGAAACTAGCAGACTGGGTGAAATGCGCTAGGCTGTAAGTTTCTCTCTCATGTTTAGCTTGCTTTAAGGCCAAAGTATACTTCGGTTTTTACTCGTACGCGAGGGTCTGTTTACACTGCGCGTGACGCAAATTACATCACCAAAATAGTATGCGTGCACTCGTATAATGTATAACGAGTGGTGCATTTGGATTAAAACTAAATCGTAAATATAAAACAAACAAAAATTATAGGGGCATTCACTATAAACAGCATTTATTTTAAACGTCAAGCATACACAACTTTATGTAAAGCAGAAGTGAAACTAGCAGACTGGGTGAAATGCGCTACACTGTAAGTGTCTCTCTCATTCTGCACCAATACAAACGTGTGCGCGCTGCGTATGTTTAGCTTGCTTTAAGGCCAAAGTATACTTCGGTTTTTACTCGTACGCGAGGGTCTGTTTACACTGCGCGTGACGCAAATTACATCACCAAAATAGTGCGCGTGCACTCGTATAATGTATAACGAGTGGTTCCCTGCATTATTTTAGGAAAACGCTTTGTGATTACAGTATTGAGCTGCTGCAATGGAGCAGCTCTAATGCACCATTAAAATGAACAGTGAAAGTAACAAAAGCTTATACAATACATTTTAACAGGTATAATTAAGTGTGGAAATAACTGAAGGTAATATCTGTTTGCTAAATGAAGCCAACTAACATGATTCATATTATTATTATTACTATTATTTTGTTTCTGTACCCAATATTAAAAAACAATTACAAATGCTGTGAAAATACAGGTATCGGTATTGGCGAGTACCAAAAATGAAAGTATAGATATCGGACTTGTTCTGAAAAAAAGTGGTATCGGTGCATCCCTAGTAATTTCCATCACTGTCATTTTCACCACAGAAGGCTATTGAACAACATACATATTCAACATACATGCCCATGAACTTCTGAAGAATATATATATATATATATATATATATATATGGCAGCCCTCGGACCAATAAATAAACTAGTGAGAGTGTTAAAAGTGTTTTTTAAGTTAAAAGCCCGAGGGCAAAAAGTGCTCTTGGTTTTAACAGCAAACACCCTTAGCTTGTAGCCTGGCAAGCTGCAGCGTTCAAAGTAGCTTCCATAATAACTTTTTTAACAGTTTTAACTGAGGAACTCTGGGCTTGAATATAAAGTGTGCGGTTTGTGTAGATGCAAAGTGTTAATGCAGTTTATTGCATTAGCGGGAATTAATGCAGGAAAAGAGGTGCTTTTCCCTTCACTGCATCCCTCAATTATAGGGCTTGGAAATGAGCCAACGTCATGGGAGCCCCAAAATATTTACTTTTGGAAACATTTAGAAAGTTCTGGAATTTATTGCTATAATGAAATAAAGTTTCAGACACCAGTCAGTTGTAAACAGGCCAAAAAAATGCTCAAACAATGCTGCGTTTCATAATTACCAATAAAAAATACCCAAGACGTAATTGCCCTCGCTTTAAAAATAACCCAACCATGCAAGTGTGACTTCAAATTTGTTTATAACGAAGGAGGAAAAAAAAGAAATCTAATGTGACTAACTGCTCAACAAAGATGCATCGACCCACAAGTAAAATTAAAATCACAAAAACGCTCCCACAATGCATCTGTGTTTCTTTCGCTCTCCTTTCAAAAATGCAGAAATGAGTCACTGCAGAGTAAAAGGAATGAATTATACGAGTCAGAGGCTCATTATAGCAGCTTTATTGCATTTTAATATTAACAGATCCATGTGACGCTCTGGAATCCTGACCGTCATCCAGCCCGGATTGAAGTCTTTTTGGGGAATGACCTATCCGATCACCGGACTTCCATCTGGAGACCTCATGACGACTTACGAGAAGCCTACATGTCAGTGCCACGCATGTGAATTATTAGTGAGACGGCTTTTATTAAAGAATGCATAACTTGTTTGGATCGAGTTTCCTCGTTTTTGGTTTAACAGGCTTTGAAAATGAATAGCATGATTGTGTGAAAACGCTTTGGTTAGGAGAAAAGTTCCAGTCGCTCAGGCTTTGCTCCAAAACCGGTCTTGCTTTCTACTGCCTACATTGCCAGACACCTTCTAAGGGAGCATCAACCGAAACAAAACAGATTTGGAACAAATTATGACCTAAAACACAGATGATTCAATAGAATTTGGTGATAGCCTGTGGCTAAGCTAAGAATGTCATATTCTAACAAAGCACATAAATCCCAAAAATATACAGATAATAATCTTATATTGAAGGAATTGTGTACACTACCATTCAAAGGTTTGGGGTTAGTATTATTTATTTGTTTATTTTAAAGACAGAAATGAATACTTTTATTCAGCAAGGATCGATTAAATTGATTAAAAGTGACAGTAAAGACATTTATAATTTATAATAGTACCACATTGTCCACAAAAATATTAAGCAGCACAGCTGTTTTCAACACTGACAATAATAGGAAAACAGCATATTAGAATGATTTCTGAAGGATCATGTGACTCTGAAGAATGGAATAATGGCTACTGAAAATTCAGCTTTGCATCATAGGAATAAATTACATTTTAAAATGTATTCAAATAGAAATCAGTTATTTTAAATTGTAATATTTCACAATATTACTGTTTTCACTGTATTTTTTAGCAAAAAAAAAAAAAAGACAGTTTTTAAACCCTAACCCTAAACCCCAACCCTAAACTTTTGAACGGCAGTGTATATTTATAATTAACTTGTCCTGTGTCACCCATCTCGGATGGGGTCATCGTAATGCATTTTTGCACATGTGATGTTACCAAAGGTATCTTAGAAAGCTGTATAGTCACGCTTCCTACGCTTTGAAACAGCTTTTGTGTGGGAAGTGCACTTATGATGCCTTAAATGCTGCCTATGCAGCCAACAAGGCTTTGGAATGACGCTGTAATCAAATTCATTGGAGCATTTTGCTGGAAGACAAAGGAATTTTTGGATGAGGAAAAATCCTCGGCAGCCACCAAACACAATACACTGCAAGATCTTCCCAAAACCAACATAAAACTCAAGGCGAGAACAAAGTGCCACAGAAATAGCCTTGTGTTCCTCAGGCTGGAATGTTTAAAGGCAACATTCAGCCGTACCGTGTGCAGAGCTAAAAATTAGCTGTCTTAATTAATTTGAGGTGTGGTTGTTACATAAAACGGTTCTGGTATTTAATATTTTTAAACAGACATGATTTCAGCAATGGCGTCCTGCCTAAAAACCCAATACTTGCCCAGCAGACAGAAACACAAACTGAGTATTTGGGTAATAATCTTATATAAATGACAACTAGCTATTTGCAAGCAAGAGGCACAGCATGATGTGTGTTATTTCTCACAAATGGGCTGAGATTCCCTCACACGCTTTAAAGGGAATCAATAACTCTATCTTCAGTCCCAGAATGCAAACAATCCGGCTGCTGGCATTCACATAAATTAAGCAGGCAAATAAAGCTGCCAATGCTTGCACTAACTGAAGACCACAGGGGATGTAAGACTGCTTGAAACACATAAGAGTTCATGGCTTTAGAGTGTTTCTGAACCTTGAGGATTATTTGATTTGATACAGCAATACAAAAAATTCAAATTTAAGAAAAAGGGAGAAAAAGTTCACTGACTCATTTAAATGAATCATGTATCATGTTGAGCGGCACAGTTAATCAAAGCAAAAGCGAAATCGTGATATGGCTCAGTGCGATTATTAAATCAGCTTCAATTAAATTAGCTGTGATTTAATTAAATAAATTTGTGTTCTGTGTGTTTCAGAGCGAAGCATGGCACTGTGTTCATTTACACGTGAGCAGCTCATGATCCAGTGTTTTCAGTGTCTCAGAGCGGCTCAGTTCGTAGTTAATGCTGCTCCACGAGAACTGCTCACTTCTGCATCTGCTCTGAGTTTGGATTGCATTTGGGAATGCAACATGCACTAACCATCTTCCCAAATTTGTATTAAAAAGCGCTTATAAACTGACTGTTGACAACAAAAGAAAAGCTTTTTCCACCATAATAATATTTAGTATTAATATTTATTGCTGCCTTAAAATATGCTAAAAATAATAATGTAAAATAATAATAATGCTAAAAATAGACATTTATTTATTTCGTTAGTTATTTATATAAAATGTAAAAAACTGTTAAACTGAAATGTCACAATAATATTTCTTATTTGTTTAATATTTAACAATAATAATAATTATTATTATTATAATTACAACAACAACAATAATAATAATAATAATGTAAAATTAATATTATAGTTTTAATTTATGCATTTAGCAGATGCTTTTATCCAAAGCGACTTACAGCGCATTCAGGCTATACATTTTTTACCAGTATGTGTTAAAACTGAAGCTTTGCGCTGGAATTCGCGCTCTGCTTGCGAACAGTAAACTCCACCTACTTTGATTTGATTGGGCATTATTTTGACATTGATGAGCACTGTTAGACCACTGAGGAACACCAGCCTAAAACTTGTTACCGTAACAGAGCAGGTTACGGCTCTGGGCTGATCCAATGTTGTTGTGACTGGCTGCTCGGGATGCTCCAACAAACAGAGCAACAGTCTAAAAACAAAACCAACAGTGTAGCACCAACAAAGGAGAATGTGCTCATGTATGCGTGTACCTACGTTCCTCAGATGAAACGTGGGGCAAAGCCTGGCCTCGGACCAGTCGACAAGTGGAACCGTCTCCAGCGCACACGCCACAGTTGTCCTCTTTAGCGTTGCTTCCCAGTTGTCTGTCACAGCCAATTTCCTGTTGGAAATAACAGAGGCATAACTCAGGAAAAAGGCAAAATGGGAAAAAAAGGACACATGATGGCAGGAATATATAAAAAAATGACTTTAGACTCCAAATTAGACTCATTATCAACAACATTTTAAATTAACATTTTCCTGATTCATCCTTCCGGCTGAAACACTATTTTGAGAGGCAACTGATTTCTGCCGGACCTCAACCAATAAATCATGCTTCCTCCAAAACAGAATAGAAACTGGCAATAAAATGAGGTGGATTGAGAAACTGGCTCCAAACTACAATGTTTAAGCTCTAACAAGCATCATAAAAATTCCTGGACAGTCAGCATATAAAGCATGCAAGTTGCAGAATAATTTTTCAGAAGTTTTCAACCCTTGCACACAAGTTCCCTCCCAGCGTTCCTCGATATTTACCCAGAAATCTGTTCTTCGGACAGTGATGTTCTGCTAGGAATCTACCACCTGCACCAGAAGAGCTGCCCAGTTTTAATGCAAAATTCTGTTTACATTAGCAGGGCAATAGAGAAAGCAGCCAGAGAAAGCAAACAGCACGACTTTACCCAGTAGCTCTGGTAAACAAGCACAAGTAAACAGACAAGCATCATTTACTCCAATTTGCCTAACACTCACAGGGACTGAGGTCAAATTCGGTGCAATGCCAGAGAAGTTTCATCAACATTATTGAATTCAGTTACCGTGCAGTACTGCATTGAATACTGATAATAGTATCTGATTTGGTTTGAGTATATTGTGTTTCTTTGCTGTGGACCAATTGGAAAACAGAGAGTCTACATCTACTGAAAACATTAAGAAAACTTTGAGAAAGTCCACACAAAAAATTAATATTCTGTCATCATGTACATGTACATGTACATGTACATGTTGTTCCAAACCTGTATGATTTTCTTTTTTTGGTGGAACAGAAAAGCAAAGTTTAGCTGAATGTGCCAGATGCTCTAGTCAACAAAATAAACTGGAAATGGGACACTTTTGAGCTCCAAAAATGACCAAAACATCTCTATAAAAGTAAGATTTGTGCACTATATTCTAAGCCTTCAAAGCCATATGATATCATTGTGTATGGAATAGACGAACACATAAATTTAAACTGTAATTTGGTTAAAATATTACCCTCAAATCTTATTAAGATCCACATATTCAGATTTGTACATTTTGTTCAGTTACACAACGTGCATGACCAAATGGACATCAAACCTGGCCGAACATGCCTTTTATGCACCATTTCTGAATATATTCAGAACCACAAAAGAGACTTTTTAAGATTTTAAGTGTTAAATTATGACTTGTTCCAGTCAGTCCACAAAAAGCTAATGACTTCAGATGACTTTGAATATTGTGCACAAGTCATATGGACTACTTTTACGGTGCTTTTTTGTCTTTTTTGAGGGCTTCATAGCATTCTCCCCCTTTCATCCTTCAGAATATTACTTTTTGCATTCCATATGGGAAAAGAGAATCACATGAGCACATCAAACACAGCCAAGGAAACTTTAAAAACAATCCAAAGTTATTCAAGCTCTAGGTGCACTGGAAAGCTATTTGCAAAATTAATGCAAAATTAGTGCTAAATAAACTCTTTTATATATGCAAGTAATAATGTTAATTTCCAAGCAATTGGAAACCTTGTGTTAGGAAATCCTGCGTTTTTAACTTCCAAAAGCGGAGCCATGGTCAAATGGAAACTCAATCCCTGTCTTTCTGTGGATGCAGGCCACTTTCTACCTTTTGCTCACACACAGACACACAACTGAGGTTAATCTGGCAGAATCATGGCCTAAATATACCCCAAATCCCCACATGTGTAACACTACAAAAGAGAGACAGTTTCCCTATGTTTATGGTCATTATTTCATTATCTTTCCATTTTAGCTGCAAAAATTTTTTTTTTTATTTAAAGCACTGCACTGTTAGAAATATCCAGAATGGAAAACCTGTTGGCGTCAGTACCACTAAACAATAACATTAAGCTTTTGGACACGCAATTAAAAAAGACCGATACTATGGCAGAAGCAGATGGTTTGGTAACTTCAGTGGATGGAGACTTGATCCATATATATTCAGGAAAAGAATTGGATAAAACTGTAAAGCTTATTCTCATTGTGCTAATATTACTGTAATGCATGTCAGAACCGGGCTGAAAAGGTCAAGAATTCTTCCTCGTAAACACTGAGTGGCTTTGGCTTCAAAAGAGCGTTTTTCACCTCATCAACAAGCCTAGACTGAACTTTAAAGGACAGTGGTATTAACTTAAGCGCTGTAAATGCTCACTTAAGTAGGCTTACGTATAAATAACATTTTCAGATTTCAGTTTTTAACAGAACGTTTGGTTTTCTGGGAGTTTTGCCATCTCACACTACGTTCAAGTGCACCTGGTAAGCTCCCATTTCCGTTAGACAGTTGTTTTTACAATATTTCACAAATCCAAGCCAGAAACAAAGTACAAAAACAAGCCTATAAACAATGGACGTTCTGAAAAAAAGCTCTTCTTTCTCTCATACCGGTGGACAAGCATTGCTAATTACATTTGCAATACTATCAGACAATGATTACTTTTGTACAGTATCTAGCAAATATCATGATTTTGCATAAAACAATATTTATCTTGGCGACAGTATAAAGTGTCTATTGATAAAGATTTTGCTATATAGTGTATATATAATGGAATGTAAATATATCCATGAAGTGCAGGATTGCCTAAAGTTATTGACAAAGAAATATGCATGAATGAGAAAATAATGCATGGGATGTGTTTGATGTTATAAAGAGTTAAGCGCAATAAGCTGTGAAAAAACAACCACTTTTGCAGCTTTAATAAGAATAAATGTACATTTAATTAATATGGTGACATTTTATTTTATTACCATTTTAAATTTTATTTTATTAGAATTGTTTTATTATAATTATTTATTTTATTGTAATAAACATTATTTATTATTGTGAAGTTCTATTATTCAGTTCAATGCTACTGTTAAACAGACATACTGTTTACTTCATACTGCATTTGTCCTATTGTTTGAATCTTATTTTAATAACAAAAAAAAATAAATAAATAAAATAAAATAACTATATTGTGATATATATCATTATTACGAAATGAAATGACTCACATCATGAAATAAGATTTTGGTCATATTGCTCACCACAAATAAATAAATACAAAATAAAATACAATTAAAGTTGTACATAAAAAAAAAAAAAGATTATTGGAGTATGTTTTACAAGAAAATACTATTTCAGTTTTTACTTCAAAATTTCACGTTTAATTCAATGTGTTACTTGCCGTTTCTTTCTAACTGTTTGTGAAAATTACTACCGATTTCTGAGTGAAAATAATTTCTACACCAAATAAACCGAGTATAGAAACCAGCTAATGCTCGCAAGGCACCCCTTATGGCAACTCTTATAATGTAATGCACTGATGTTTCAAACTCAAAGGGTGCATCACTGTCAGCTTAAGTAGCTCAAGTTCATTGATGTTCACCTGACAAATCCCACTGATGCACATATCCAGAGAATCCGCTTTGCACCGAGTGCCGTCCAACACTTTGGGCGCCAGTTCCACCACCAGGTTTTTGCCCCGGGCTTGACATCGGAGTGCGCAGGGTGAAATAGGATCGTACGTCACAGGTATCCACTCATAGGTTTGTCCCTGGTACTTGATGTCGTTGTGGGCGGAGCATTGCTGAGCCCTGAAGTCACCTGACTCTAGAGGACAGTCCTGATTGGAAGAAAGACATGGGTAAGAAAAATTTGGCGGCTACCAATTATTTCTCATATCTTTGAGTAGATTACTTACAAACTGCAGTCCGTTACTGAATACAAATTACATTGTGAAAATTACATTACACATTTTAGGTAATATAATCTGATTGCTTTTTTATTACTTTCAACTTTTATCACATTGATTTGAATGGGATAATCTTGTTCCAACTAAAAAAAAGAGAAGGAATATGTATTATAACAACAACATGAAGTGCACTAAACATTACTGACATTACTGTCAGGGTTTGTGAAAGAACAGCAGGGGGTTCATAAATTGATGAAAAGAGCTAATAATGAATTATTAAAATTAAAAGAAAATAAATCAGTTTAAAATTAAAACAATCAAAATTTAAACACTCACTAAAAATGCACAAAACTGGAAGATTTTCCCAACATATATAAGCAACAGACAAATTTAAAAGACAAACAAGAGTTAGGAAGAATCATGTAAATTATGAATAGTTTACTGCCATTTTTGGGTAATCATGTAATCAATAAAAAGTAACTGTAGTCTCATTATGAGTATTTTAAAATGTAATATAATCTAATTTCAAGTATTTAATTTTTGTAATCTGATTATGTAATCCAGATTACATAAAATCAGTTACTACTCAGCACCATCTTTGACTATAATACAGAAACTCTGACATTTAATAGGCCCAAAAATAACAGCTGACCTGACAATGGCACTGGAAATATTATTTTCTACGCTGCGAGATTAAATCGTGATCATGTGTGTAACATCATAAAGCTTATGCAGATGACTGGGTGCATTAACGAATGGTGACAGTGTAATTGAACTGTGGCAAGCCTCCATGTTTTGAAAAACAATATTTCCTATGTCATCTCCTGTGCACTGAAGAAAACCACAATTCTTCCTCTGCAGCTCGGGACTCCCATGTGCAAAGATCATCAGTGATGCCCGTGATTGAAGCATCTCCATCGGATAGAGCGATTACAACTCACAAAGGCTTCAATGTCAGGATCAGTAATGGAAATAAAAAGAACAATTCGACAGCGAACCTCATCAACAGCAATTATAAAGCCTGACAGGGAAGACCAAGCATCAGTTCTCACGGTTTTGATGGAAATGGGATAAATGTTATGCTGGGAATCTTTCCCAGATGGCTCTGATTGGAATTGTGGGTGAAGGAGGAATGTGATTCCAGATGAAACCACTTCAATGGAAGAAAAACACTAGCTTTTGATTAAAATGCTCATTGAGACACATGGGCATCTAACAGCTCTCAAAATGAGTCTGTCAAGTAGTTGGGGACTATTGATTGAATCATAGGGCAAAATTCTGGTTCCATAACAATTCCATTAACGTCACAATCTAGACATCACTAATAGAAAATTCACTTTACTTGCATTAGAAAAAAAAAAAAGTAAAAATTTAAGAGTGGTTAATGGAATCAAACTTCATGAAAATCATTTGGTTCCACACCAGTTTTTTTTTTATTCAAACTGGTTGTAAGGACCAGTTTCTCATTCCCACCCTCAAAATACATGACACGAGGGAAATGCACATAAAAGAGAAAAACACACATGAAATGGATCTTATAGAATTATTTCTATTTCATACTACTTTCCTTTTACAAAGCCCCTAAAGGGACATGGTTATGGTTAGAAAAAAAAAAAATACAAATAATAATAATATTGACATGAGAGAAAAAAAACACATTTAAAATATTTTGCATTCTCTCATAAAACTGTTGTGTTCCCCTCAGAAACTTTGCATTTGTTCGCAAAACTTTTGTGATGGAAAACTATATTTCAGTGAGGGAATGTAAAGATTCTCTGGGGAATCCAATCATTTTGCAAAAGAATGCAAAGTTTGTTGAGGGAAGACAATACTTTTGCAAGACAACGCAAATGTTTTGTGAGAATGCAATGTTTCTTGGGGGAACACAATAGTTTTGTAATTTTGTGTGAAGATGTAAACTTTCTCTGGGGAATACAATCGTTTTGCGAGAAAACGCAAATGTTTTGTGAAAAAATGCTAACGTTTTGCGAGAGAACAAAAAGTTTCTTGTGAACACACAATACTTTTGTGACACAACGTTTTGCAAGCAGATGCAAAAGCACTGAAATACAATTTTTTCCTTCCATCTCATTATTTTTTCATCACTATAACCCGTTAGGGGCTCTGTACCCTTTGAAATGTTTCTGTTCATATATTTCACAGAGTTTGCCAATATAATTGCATATTTTTGCCAAAATTGCATAGTATTATACTAAAAACTGCCTGCGACACACTATGTGTATGCTAGTGTATTCTGTATGCTATTTTGGAAAAATATTTTAAAATACACTGCATAGTACATGCAGTATGAAGTAAATAGTAAAAGATTTTGGAAACACTTTAGTTTAGACCAATTTTCACTATTAAGTAGTTGCTTATAAGCATGCATATTATTAGCATATTGGCTGTTTATTAGTATTATAAAGCACTGTAGTGTCTGGACCAATCAGACACACCATTTTTAATTTGATTTAACAAATCAATTATTCATTAGATTAACAAACATTCACAGACCCCTCACCCAATAAACATACTGGGTGCCAAGATGTCTGTGAACGAGGCCCAGGACCCTGGTTACCATGGCAACCATGACACCTTTGCTAGACCAGATAAACTTTACGACCTAATGGCATGTTGAGAGTTACCCCTCTCACTACAATTTCCATAGGAAAGACACAGTGCACAGTAAAAATGGACTCTTCTCTAATTAATTCATAAGAAAACCTTTCTTTGAATGAACACACATATCCTTCAGGTCATTGTGTATGTTGTCTTTGAGATTTTATACTGTTTTATGCAGGCTTATGAGGGAACCACTCGTTCCTGTCATCTTGCCTATATGTAATCCTACCATGTTTAGTATCTATGAATTAGTCTTCTGATGATCTAAACGAGAGTGTATATTATATGTTGGTACATAGGCAATATATTAGTGTCCTGAGAATCTTTAGTAATTTCGATTCAAGTCCCATATGCAAATTACCATGCTTTCATACAAAGGGTCATAAAAATCCCCAGTATGTCCAACCTCCTGCTTGGGACGTCAGCCTTTCTCATTGGACAAGCCCAGTTTGAGAGGCGGGAATCTTCTGAGACATTAAAGGCCCCACACCAGGGACCCGCCCAGAGTCGGTGGTTCTGTTAGGTTTTGAGAAGATGTGAGCTACAACGCTCCAGGACACCCTAAGTTCGTGCCAGGCTTCGGCCTTGACTTTTCCATTCATCAAGATTCTCTGACGCAAACTGGTTCTTTTTCATCAACCAACTTCAGCAAAGATCAACTTGAACCTTCAGATTGCATCAAACCTCTCTTTCAGACAGACGAGACGTGCAAGTATTCAAACTTAGTCTTATTAATTGATACATTAGGTATCATTTGCACCTTTTTACAAAGGTGTGTTTGAACTAAGAAACTGATGTTCCCTTCAGGCTGGAGATCTGCTGAATATCAAATGGTACCATAGTTTCATATTCTTATTTCTCTTCTCTTTACTGC